GACATTTCCCCAGAGGTAGTGAATGAGCTGCTCTGGGTCTTTTAGGCTGCAACACTACAGGATCTGACAAGGAAGAGGTAGACAGACAGTAGGAGACTGAAATGAAGGGTTCCCTGCGACGGGAGTGACAGATGGTTTCAAGCCACCATGTGCAAAGGGACTTACAGTGAGGCTAGATGAATCCCTAATTATCCCAGCTAGTAGACAGTTATTCAGTGTGTTCAAACACACTCTCACAATCACTGGCACCCAGTAAGACAAGAGAGCTTCCTGGACAGAACGGTGTATAACAAATGTGCTCACTGAGACTTCTCTGCCCTTCAAATTCAACATGCATTCGTGTTTACCTAGCGTGAAGCCTGAAGCTGTGGCTTTTGTTTTGTTCTAGAACATGAGAAAAGTAGGCTCCACTTCATGTTTTTGTTTTTTTTTTCAAAGAAGCCGCTTGCTAGACCAGACGCTACACACAGCCATGTCGCAGTCTCTGTTCATTTGTCCTACTAAGAAGATGAAAAAGATAGTCAAGACCAGACCTGTCCTGTGCATGAGGTTTCCTGGACAGTCTTACGGCTAATCTTCGCAGAGCAGCCCAAGGCAATGTTACCTGGGGGTAAGAGAATGGAAATTCCTACCCCTGTGAGTCACGGGATGCAGTCTCTTGGGTAACTTGCTGAGCCACCCAGGGCTAAGATGAGCAGGAGAAAATAGGACACCCAGGGCATAGATAATTCTGAGGAATGAGGGAGAGATTCCTGGTAATGTCTGCAGGATTACAAGAAGCCTCAAACCCCTCTTTTTGGCACAAACGTTCATAATCAGAAATGTAAATACGCTTTGGTGCATGTATTCTTTCTAAGACCTTTTTACAGCAGCCAGTGAGATGTTCCCGAAGACCTTGGGATTTTCACAGTCACCCACCATCGGGTGACAGTCACCCGTGCTCCCACACCTTAAGGCCTCTGATACACAAAGTTGATCTCTGGGCTCCAGACATATGCCTCGGCACGTGAGTGTGCATGCAACACGATAAATAAAGAAAAGGAGGTAGAAGGCGACAGAGGACGACACCTGATGTCAGCCTCCTCTGGCATCGACCACATGTGCACATAGACAAACACACCCACATACTCTGCACACACAGACGCATGAACACCTATGCAAAGCACCCATTGGGAGCGAAGAAATGACTCATTGGTAAAGAGCATTGGCTGCTCTTCTGGAGGGCCTAGTTTCAGGTCCCAGCACCCATATGGCCTCTCTCAGCCATCAGTAATTCCCATTCCAGGCGATGCGACACCCTCATCTGGCCTCTGTGGGCACTGCACGAGTGGGAAAAACACTGACACATATAAAATAAAGTAATAGAAACGTTGTTGAAAAACAAAACAAGAGGCTGGAGAGTTGCCTCAATGGTTCAGAGCACTTGTTGCTCTTGCAGAGAACCTGCGTTCGGATCTCAGCACCCACATGGAGGCTCAGCTCCTCCTCAAGCACCACTCATACACACACCAAACAAACAAACAAACAAACACCCCTTTGTTACAGAGTCAGAATGGAAGGCTTCCTCCTCCTCCTGCCTTCTACGCGTTGTGTGGCTTCTGGTCAATGTCTTCCCCTGTATGTCGCTTCCTCCCTGCTGAGAGCATGTGAAGTGTGTTAAATGAGATGGTACATGCACTCAGGACGGTGCCTGGCCATGGAGGGCGCTGCACAAATCTTTGCTCTTCTCACTGTCTTGTAGATGAGTTCCTGGATGGAAGCTCACCCAGCCCTGAATCAGCCATGGAAGCTCACCGGCTTCGTGGGTGGTAGATTTCACCTCCTCGTTGTCTCTGATTCTCCTTTGAGTTCCCTCGTTTTACCACACTCTTACTTTCTGCCAGTGTCTTATAGTCACATCGCAAGAAAAAGGGGGTTCTGACTGGCTCAGCTAGTTTCCATTCTTTCCCTTCATCTGGGAAACTGTCCAGCCTCTGTGGCGGGCCTCCCCTACTCTTATCAACTCTCACAGGCAGAGAGGCAGGGAGGCAACCTCAGGCCTCCCCTTAGCTGGATGACAGTGATTTCCCAAGACAGAGAAGGTCTGGGGTTCCCCTTGTGGCACCATCAAACCCTCCCCACCCCCAGAAGCTGACCCATTCTCTTCTGGTTCCTCAGCCACTATCCAGAAACACTGAGAGAACATCCTCATACATGTAGTGCCCAGACATGTGTCGGGAGCTGGCAGCCTGGCCCCATGTGTTTCTCCCCAGAAGCCCTTTGGAAAGCATGGATGACAGGCCGCTTCTCCACTTTGCTTCCTGGCCTAGTCACAGGCACATTCTGTCATGGCGGAGCTTTCCCAAATATTCACATGGAGGGTGAGCTTTTGTGTGGAAAGTAACGTGCTTAAGAGGAGTTTTGTTTTTGTGTTTTTTTCCCTCATTTGCTTAATTTGGCTGGCTTTAGTGTACCGAATGAAGGTTGGGCAGTTGTATAAGAATGCAGGGAAGATGAGTTCAGAAATCTGAGTGGTTACTTCCAGACTTCACGCTTCTGGTTGTAAAGGCAGAGAGACATCTGTGATTTGTCAGCCTTTCAGTGAAGCAGGCACGCAGCAGCACCTGCCTGGTCAAATTCTTTCAGCTTTGGGCCATCTGGGTGTGGGTTTTGCTGACACCACATAAATTTCTTCTCTCTATAAAGCGTTCTCCCAGTGAGGAACAAACACAGGAATAAAGACCAGGAAACCACATAAAATGTGGGTTTCAGCTTCTGTGAGCTAGCGTGAGGTGAAGGACAAGCAGAAACAGGAGTCCAGGACAGAAATGGCCCATGCTGACAGACTTCCCAGGAAACAGGGCTGCTACCTGGATAATGAACTGAGGGGTTGGTCCATCCAGCCACGGAGGACATCGTCCTTCAACAGCAATCCCCTTGTGACAGGCTGCATTAAGATACCTTTGCAGCTCAAGAGCTAAGCTTTGGTTCAGGGCTGCTGCTGGGGTTTCGGTCATTTTCTGCGAGAAAGCAAGAAGCTAGGGAGGCGGGAGAGAACTAAGTGTGTACATGTCGCTGGGAGAAAGAGAGGTGGGGAGCTTGAACTGGGGGGTGCAGAGGCTTCCTGAAGCCATGTCCCAATGATGGAGACTCAGGGCACAGAACAAGCCCACCTCACCATTCCCTAAGAGGAAAAAAAAGTCAAGGTACAAAGGAGCCCATAATCAGCTCAGCTCAGTTCCACTCTCTTTTCTGTGACAACATAAAAGTCACAAAGACCTACCGGGCTAGGAAGGACAGTCAGAAAAGCCATGTGCTCTTTCAGTCACCCGAATATTCATGCTACGCCCATAGTAATGCCTGTTCTCCTTCCAGAACCCCCCCCCCCAGGATACTGGTTCTCAATCTTTGGGTCTCGACCCCCTGTGAGGGCTAATGACCCTTTCACAGGGGTCACCTGAGACCATCAGGAAACACAGATATTTACGTTATGATTCACAACAGGAGCAACATTACAGCTGTGAAGTAGCAATGAAAATAATTTTTTGGTTGGGGTCACCACAAAGGGTCGAAGCATTAGGGAGATTGAGAACCGCAGCTCTAGGAATCCCATTCCACACGCACACACTGATCTTTTTTCCATGCATGATCAAGCTGTGATGACCCCTAAATCTCCCCTTCTTTGTTTGTTTGTTTGTTTTCTGCCTAGAATACATTTTGTTGCTATTTCATAACTGTAATGTTGCTACTGTTGTTTTCTGATGGTCTTAGGTGACCCCTGTGAGAGGGTCGTTAGACCTCGTAAGCAAAGAGAAAGAAAGAAAGAAAGAAGGAAGGAAGGAAGGAAGGAAGGAAGGAAGGAAGGAAGAAAGAAAGAAAGAAAGAAAGAAAGAAAGAAAGAAAGAAAGAAAG